TAAAAGTTTAAATTGTAACACATCTCTCCGACTTATTTTCAGTATATGTACGTACGTATGTACGTACGTATGTGTATAATTGCGTATCTTTATGCTTAAGTGAAATACGAGTTCATCTTTTTCAATTAACGGCACATTATGTATTGACTGACACTTTTCAATTCGTTGGAAAATTGTAAGGAAACCCGAATCTAGCTTCTATTGTCAGACTTAAATAGGCGTATGAATTTTTAATTACTTCAAGTATCAAGTCGTACGTACGTGCGTGTACCGTGTACATACAGCGTCCGAATGAGATTGTGAAACTATGCAAATGATTTGACAGGGCGGCACCACAACCTGTTGCAATAATATATCGAAAAAGCAATATTATCGATAACTGCAGTTGTTCTGTTAACATTGTTCATAATATTCATAATTATATCGTTAATATCGATGATAACCACGTCTCTTGGCAAAGCCAAAATAAAGCATAATGAAACAATAATTTGATTGTTGATTGCCACGACAACTTGGCAATGAATAAGCGCGTGCGCATCGTAGTTGTGGGTGATTCAGGTAATTATCGAGTATTTTGACTATATTTGAATATCAAATGATTTTAATGCCTCTAGGTGTTGGAAAAACATGCCTAACCCACTTAGTTGCCCACAATGAGTCGTTAATACGGCCGGGCTGGACAGTTGGCTGCAACATTCAAGTTAAAATTCACGAATTCAAGGAAGGCACGGCCCGACAGTGCCCATATTTTATTGAATTGTTTGACATTGGTGGCTCACTGAGTCACAAAAATACGCGAAGCGTTTTCTACAGTGGTATACATGGAGTTATCTTGGTGCATGATCTAACGAATGGCAAGTCGCAGGAGCAACTACTTGACTGGCTCTTCGAGATTGTCAATAAGGATGGCAAAGATACGTACAAATGCCGCAGTCCCTCTTCGCCGCCGTCGCCGCTGCACGGCTATGGCACGGATACCAGCATGCGGTTTGATTTAGAAGAGTTCTTAGGCGCTACACAAATACCTATTTTAGTTATGGGCACCAAGTTAGATTTGATCGATGAGAAACGTCAACCCAAAACATCTGTTAAAAAGGTCGGGGGTATTGGTCAGTATGGATGACTGGTTATCAGATGTAGTTAAAGTCTCCTGAAATTTATCTATATTTTCTGTTTGTAGCCGACAAATGTGGCGCCGAGGAAATATGGCTAAACTGTCGGGATACACGCAGCTTAGCCGCGGGTACAACTGATGCGGTTAAGTTATCCAGATTCTTCGACTGTGTCATTGAAAAGCGCGAAAGTAATGGGTGCCCAGGCGCTCATCTGGTGGCATCCACTGCTACAGATAGACGACGAGCCGCTAACTCACTACCTTGCAGTCCAGAGTTCCCGATATATGCGAGCAAAGCAACAGAAACTTTCGTACCCCTGCTAGAAACCAACGATTTAAAATAAGGATTAGGACTTAAAAATTAGATTTAAGAAAATATATTATATATAAACTAATATACTTTTATACTGAACCAGCAATGCTAATTGAGCTACCTTGCATCATTTGGCGATACCATTCAGGCAGTATGGGCTTCACATCTGGACCGCGCAGCACAGAGTATTTAATCTTATTCAGAGCCGGTTTGTAGTCGATCATAACTACAGCGTTAGAGTCGTTAATACGATGCATTATTGCCTTGAGCTCGTGCAGAAAGTTTGAGAGGAATGTGCCCGTGGCTGCCGAGCTCCAAGGCTTGTGGCGGTGTAGTTCGCGTACGCTGTACTCTTTAATATCGTGAACCAGTCCATTGTCATCCCGCAATCCGGTTATAATCGTGTCGATACCAACCAAAAACGATTGGCTCCACCAATTGAGACTCTTGTAATTAACAAAGGTCTGCTGTTGCCTCTGGGTCATTTTGTATGCAGATGTTTTAAGCTCTACGAACTCTGCCAAGCGTAGCTGTTCCGGATCTTTCAGGTCGCTGAGAAGTATAGGTTTTATTAAAACATGGTATACAGAGATACATATCTTACGCAGAGAACATACACATAGACGTCACTTTTAATGCAGTCCATCTCCGCGCCGTAGATTAGACGCAGGCCATTTAATTTGCTACGGTAGACACATGCAAACTCTTGGGATTCATTAACAGGTGCATTTGTAACAGGTGGTTTGTCTGGATGGGGAGTTGTGCAATACTGCTCGAATTTAAAGCCCCATGAGCACATGTCCATTTCACGGCGTGTCATCTGCATTGCTTGGCTTCGCTGGTCACTAGTTTCTACTTTGGATATGTAGGTGGTGCCGTTTAAGCATGTTGCCATAAGACGATAGTCACGATTCCTTTGATATGGTGTGCACATAATTTGGCGAAGAACACCACGAAAAGTGACAAAATCAGCGAGTAGTTCCATTTGCCCTGTGGACGAAGTGCGCAGATGCTCTTGATGATTATAGATGAACTGACAGATGTGATATATATCGAAGTAGTCAGGATCAATACTTTTGCGCTGTACATTTTCAATGCCTGCATTGAGATCCAGTGGCATTTCGCTAGGAGATGGCAGCCAAAGGAATCTTAAATTCTTGGCATTGTTCTCGAATTCTCGTGATTCGTTAACGCTATAGAATCCAATTGGCTCAGGACGACTTATGTCTGGAAAGGTGCCTGGGAATTTAGCTCCGAATCTATGCAGGCGCACATTCACACGGAATGTCTGAGTATCATTTCTGCCAGAATAAGACATTTTGTTTAGAGGATTGCAAGACCAAATCAAAACATGAAGTACTTACCCGTCTTTCAAGAAACTTGGTCTGTATATCGATATATCGATAGATATTTTAAATAATAACTTTTTCATTTGGTGCCAAATGCTGCCAATTTATAATAATAATAATAA